GGCATCCCACAGAGGAATATTTTCATTTGGCATCCCACAGAGGAATACATTCATTTGGCATCCCACAGAGGAATACTTTCATTTGGCATTCCACGGAGGAATACTATTATTTGGCATTGCCAAGGAGGCGCATATCGAGGTGGAACTACAACCGACAGACGTCGCAGCATTTAACCTAACAACTACACCTGTCAATATAGCGTACACGAATTGAGTATAATATATGTAATAACGCATTTAATTGTTTTGTACACGTAAGTGAATATTTTTAATCATCATATAAAAATGAATCTGTCGGAAAGCGAAGCAAAAACGAGGCGAACAATTATAAAGGCGACTCTCACGCGACTTAAAACATATTTAGAATCGGCACAATCAGCGCGCGCGACAAAATTCGAATTAATCGAGCGTAAAAAAAAGATAGCGAATTTGTTTGAGCAATATGACGAGGTGCAAGCGCGACTCGAGTGTTTGACAATAGATTCAGATCCAAATTCGGCCGCTACTCATGCAGAAGATCGTGCACGCGTTGAAGAGGCGTATTTTCAGCTCATGGCTTTATACGAGCAGCGTATTAATTTAGTTGAACAATCTCAAGTAGAATCTCAATCGACCACTAATGCTCGTAATCTAGTCACACATCAAAATAATTCAGAATCAAATATTCGATTGCCAAAGATACAATTGCCTATCTTTTCAGGGTCATATGAAGATTGGTACACATTCCATGATTCATTTGACAAATTAATTCACATGAATGAAAGCTTATCAACCATCCAAAAATTTCATTATTTGCGCTCATCACTAAAAGACAAAGCCGCGGAAGTTATTAAATCTTTTGATATCACAACCGAGAATTACGCGGAAGCATGGCAATTATTGAATGAACGTTTCGATAATAGAAGACGTATAGTGCAGACACATGTCAGGGCTATATTTGAAATTGCTCCAATACACAAGGAAAATTGTACGGCATTGCGTGGTTTATTAGATAACGTACTCAAACATTTTAGAGCCCTTAAGGCATTACAAAGACCCGTTGACACTTGGGATGATATGTTGGTTCATTTAGTTTTAACTAAGCTTGATTCCATTACAGTGAAGGAGTGGGAAACTAATCGAGCAGATGCAACAGTACCCACATTTAAGGAGCTTATGGACTTTTTGGCAAAAAGATGTCAGGCATTGGAAACGATATCGAATAAGGCATCAAACGTGGATGCGACAAACACTTCCCAGAAGGCCAAGCATGGTGCTCATGTAGCCACAGCCAATCAATCTTGCATTCATTGCAAAAGTAAGCATTTCATATATCAGTGTGAATCATTTCGTAAGCTTCCTGTAGAAAAACGTTTTGAAATTGTAAAGAATGCGCATTTGTGTATCAATTGTTTGAGATCAGGGACACATCAGGCAAAAAATTGTTCATCGGGCCTTTGCCGCAAATGTGGAAAGGCGCATAACACTTTGTTACATTTTGACTCGAAATTTGATACAACAAAGGGTGATCAGTCAGTTACGTCTTCAACTAAAGACACAAATGAATCTTCATCGAATTCGTCGCCAATTGTTACTCAATGTACTCAAATTGATAGTCCTTCTAAAATTTTTCTGTCAACTGCTATTGTCGATGCATATGATTCCGAGAATCAAACACACGGTTGCAGAATTTTGTTAGACAGCGGCTCTCAATTAAATTTTGTCACTGAAGGCTTCGTAGAAAAACTTCAACTTGAAGGCCGCGCTTTTCGCATCTCGATCTCCGGAGTAGCGGAAGGAAAGTTTGAATCAAGAAAGATAGTCAATGTTAATTTTCGATCAAGAGTAAACGCGTATAGTACTAGTGTCGAGTGCGTAGTTCTTCCGAACATTACACAAAAATTACCACAGGAATTTTGTTCTGCATCTGAATTTAAAATCCCATCAAACATAATACTTGCTGATCCTAATTTTAATATTCCGAGTGAGATCGATATGCTCATAGGAGCACAATTATTTTGGCAACTTATTTGCGTCGGACAAATCAAGGCATGTAAAACCCATCCTACTTTACAGAAAACCAAGCTGGGTTGGGTAATCTCCGGCGTATCACACAATTTTTCCAATGTGGCAATGGCCGCATGCCATCTTACAGCAGTAGATAAATTGAATGAATCCATTTCTAAGTTTTGGGAGATTGAGCATAACTTCTCATTGCCTAATACCAATTACACTACCAACGAACAAATATGTGAAACGCATTTTCAGCAAAATACTCGGCGCAATGTAGAAGGTCGTTTTGTAG